AAAACATGCATGAGAACAAGGCTCTGAGAAAAGTTCAAGGTTTTTTTTTTTTTTTTTTTTTTTTTTTTTTTTTTTAAGACAATCAAGTTCTTCAATCTTTCAGTTTTCTCAAAAAAAGTAATAATTCCTTACAAAACCCAGAGAGCTGATGAGAGATAATAGTTGCCCAGGAGTACGTGAATAGTCTTGTTTTGGCTTTGCCATTGATGGTGTAGTGAGGATATCCATCATATTTATCTCTGTAAGCAGATTGAAAGGGAAAAAAGTGTGTCATTTCGTTCTTTGACTATTAAAAATGTGAAATATTAAACGCGTACTTCATATTTAAGTTAGGTTAAGAAAAGGTTTAGTGRCATAATGAACAAATATATGAAAAAAGCCACTAAAAGCAAATGAAGACATTCCTGTACGTTCTTATTAAATAAAAACCATATCTTGGTGTAYAGCCTTTGTAAATACCTAAATAACACATTATAAATTCAGAAAAAGTTCAAATTCTTTTCCAGCATAGTATGAATTTTTATATATATATACATACACACAYATATATATGTGCACATATTTTTGTGTGTTTTTTATTTTTTAATTGGACTCAGTTTTCAGATTCTTTGCTCTTAAGAAGAGATTCCAGCCCGTGGTCAGTGAGCTTAGGCGATATGTTTGGTCCATAGCACGTCCTCTTTCCAAGGATGTCTTGGAAACAAGTTGGAGCTAGAAAYAGACAGTGGTACAGCAAGCAAATGTCAGGATTAGCCTTTCATTCTTTGCTTTCTCCTAATGGATTTTAGAAAATTTTGAAATATGTAGCACTTAAAAGAAATACACACAGATTGTTTCTCCTAAATCCTTGTCCTTAAGGATAAATTCTTTATTCCATAAGGTGCAGTGCRGTTTCTTAACTAGAAAGCACTACTAGTGCTTATTGCTACCTAGAATCAATATTTCTGCAGCACTTGGACTTACTTAACTGGAGGCTCTGTCTGATACTATAGTGTAAAACACGTAGATACCAGAASATGACACATAAACATACATTATAACAAATGCAACCACCAGCATACTGATGCATCTTACCTCTGTTCAGAGTAACTCTGGAAAGTCCAAAATCTGTCAGCTTTATGTGGCCTTGATTAGAAATGAGCATATTGTCCGGCTTCAGATCTCTGAAGATATAATTCAAAGTCAATAAAAAGACAAATAAATAAAGAACATTATATACCCAGAAACATGTAGTACCAAAGACTTAATAATATAGTTCATCCTCTTTATTCAAATCTCTGAGCCAGAGGACCCCAATTGGAGAAATAAWACAAAATAGTTAAATGCATCCAGCACTAGATATTGTGTCATTTGACTCGTAAGATCCCCATGTGCATTCCACAGGAATTTGATGTTCTACAAATTGGCAGAACTGCTAGAAATTTAAAAGAAAAAAAAAAAACCCAACGCATTTTATAACAATTATACTACTTCCAGAAGATTGAAAGGAAACAAAACAAAAAAAACACCAAATACTTCTTTGGGAAAAAAAGAAATAGGTTTTACCTGTGGATTATGCCATGTCTGTGAAGATAGTCAAGAGCCAGTGCTGCTTCAGAAATATACTTTACAGCCATTTCTTCATCAAAATATCCATAAATATGGAGAAGAGATTTGACATCTCCACCAATAAGGTATTCCATCACCTGCCATTCAAAGAGCATTCAATGTGAAAATATATTTCAAATTTGCAAGTAAATTATAAAATAGCTTCTGCCTCCAAGAAAGCATCACTTCAAAGAGAGTTGATTAGAATCTTCCTTGTGGCAGCTTACTTAATTTCGAACACAATACTTTTTTTCATTTTGATATGATAATTAAACCCTCAGAAGACAAGAGTCATGAAATGTTTTCCCTCAATTTACTTTCTTGATTTGTCTAGCGTGTTTTCTGCAGTCAGCTTTTCAATTAGCTTCCAAATTCTGAAAGATAAGAGTTCCCTATAATAGGAAATAATTTGCAATGCAATTGAAACAAGACCTGCATCCTGAAACCACTGATCCTGTAATTTTTATCAGTGTTTTTATTTTGCAGGCATTTATATATACTACAATGCTCACTGTAAATTAAAACCTGAATTTTATGAAATAAGTCTCAAATCTCAAAACAAATTACATAAGGAGAATGACTGTGCACACAAAATGTTAAAAAAAATCATTTGAATATAAATACACAAACGATTTAAATGCAAATGGTTTTCAGTCTGCAAAACCAAATGACATCACATTAAATGGTCYATGAAACCCCCAGGAGCAAAGCTTTAAGCATTATCATGCTTTATCAAAACAATATTCATGCTATTTTATCATGTCTAAAAAAATTATTCATGGGGGACTATGTTATCACAGCTCAGAAAAAAATGAAGCAAACAAACAGTTTTCAAGAAAATCCACTTTTCAGGGATAAGTAGGAATTCAGATTAGATCATGATATACAAAACTCCATGTTTTACTGCATGATATAGAAACACATSCAAGTCAAGCACTTTTAAAAATGCTTCCTCCTGAAATCCTCCTGTGTTCTGACTGGCAATTGACAGAGATTCCAGGAAAGGAAGCCTTCACTTTTAGTCAAAATGCACATCAGCCTCCAATTCAGAATTTATGCAAAATGACAAATGTGAATGTTCTTAGAAAGCCAAGCAAATTATGCTAGGCCCTTTGTAGATGCCCTTAATCCATACTCATCAGAACCTTTTTGTGGAGACAGTTTATAAAGCCACATTTAAAATTCCACATAGGTAGTTCTGCCAATCAGTTATATTCTTGCCATCTAATCCAATTATTTTTACGTATTTCAGGCACAGGTGATAAGCAATGCTTATTAGTGAACCACAAGTACTTTTTAATCATTTAGATTCTGCTTGAATAGACTGGCTTCCCGTTTTTCCAAAGGTTCCTACATAGTCCTAAATCAGACTAGCTGTTAGAAAGGACTCTCCCGTTAAAGAAAAAAATGAGGTGCAAAGATCTCAATGGTRAAAGGAGAATAGGAGCACCTCACTTGCTCAACTAAAATGTGGTTTTAGCATTCRTTTTTTAATGCTGTCATAAAAAAGCACAGGTTATTTACTCACCAAATAGACGTTATTCGCTGACTGCAGCGAGTAGTATAAGTGCACAACGAAAGGACTTTTACTTAGAGCCAGTGCATCTCTCTCTGCTTGGACTTGGTGAACCATGTTTTTATTGATCATGTCTGCTTTCTTCATCACCTTAAAGAAAAGACAACTGTCATTCCCCCTTTCAGTATTCATTTTCTTAAAAAAAAAGTTATGAAAATACATGTGCTGAAGCTACACTGATAAATATTTCCTACTCTAGTCTGCAGTTATTAGTCATTAGTTTACCTCCATACTTCAAGCACCCATGAATGCTATACAGTGGAGCAATAATTTTATATAAAGAGTTATAGAATACATTTTTTGGTAAAGACCTCTTTTCCACAGGTCCTACTAATTCAATCCTTAAGGAAAATCACCCTACCAGCATTTTATGTGATCACACAGGCTGAATTTGATACCAAACTTCACCAAGTAAACAGTTTCCCCCAGGACACAAAGATGTCTGCTTCAAAAAACAAGAAAGGGTATTGAARGTTTAGAGTCGCAGTTGCTAACTCTTTCCATGCAGTCAAAGAACATCATAACCCCATCCACTGAACATYTAGCATTGCACTATCCCTCAGGTGCAAGATTTTGTAAAGCCTTTGTAAACCTCGCAGAGATAACAAGCAATTTTCTGTTAAAGTTTACTATTAAATCATTCAAATATTTGTTTCCTTTGGGAAGAAGCTTCAACAGAAGCAGGTAACTCATGAAGATGTAATGAGCTATTAACTTCGAATTAGTATCCAGCTCTTTTATTGAACTGCTTCATTATATGGCTGCYCAGTATAATTTTTAGAGCGATATGTGCAAACAGTAGCATATTTGAGATGCAGATAAGCCAGCAGTGTATGTGTATTGGAACTGTATCCACATCTGACACCTTTGGTCCTGATAAAGTGACATTAAAGCAATGCAGTTTTCCTACTGTGTATACTGCATATATATATATACACACACACACTGTATTACAGTATGGTACATGTAGTACAGTACAAAATAACACATTAAAGTAATGCAGTTTTTCTACTGTATATAGTGTGTATATATATATATATACACATACACACACAGTTTGTATATATAGATATACAAACTATATCTATATATAGATATACAAACCGTGGCAAACCAAGTTCACGACTACCACCTCTGTTATCAAGGCTAGTAAGAAAAATAAATAAAGACTTGTACAGAAGTTATTGAATTGCAATTTTGGAAGCAGTGGCTTCACTTGTACAMACATTTAGTGCACACCAAAGCTTTGTGGCTGTGCACATAAACACCATGACAATATTAGTGGCACAAAAGCTCCAGGTGACAATACCCACAACAACAGGGACGTTAAAACAATAAGCGTGCGCAGTTTCAGGCGCTAAGCCGGTGCGCGCTGCCCCTCCCCCGCGCGGCCCCTCACCTTCACGGCGTAGAGGCGCCCGGCCTTGCGGCCCAGGTAGACCTTGCCGAAGGCGCCGCGGCTGATGGGCTTCACGATGGTGAACTCCTCGATGGAGGGCGGCCGCGGCACCTCGATGCGCGCCGCGCCCGCGCCGCCCGCCGCCTCCACGGTGCCCATGGCCGCCCGGGCTCGCTCGCTCGCTCCCGCGCGCGGCGCRGCCCGCGCCCATTCAAAGCGGCGCCCCGCCCGCCGCGTGACGTCACCGCCCAACGGCCGCGCCGCGCGGGGCGGTGCTTCTCGCGAGACTCCTCGAGGCCAGGGCGGGGCGAGGTTGAAGCTTTGCGAAATGGCGGCTTCTCCCGCCCCGACAGCCGTTACCTGCTTTCGCTTTCCGCAGCCGCCATTACAGACACCCCGCCCCACCCCTATATCCAGTTCTCTGGGCCCGACATTCTCTTCCCTGATTATATCTGACGGCCTCCTCTGAGGGTGCCGTGATTACTCGCCAGCCTCCTGCCCAGTAGCCAGTGCTGGGTGCCCGCCATGTTGTCCCACCTGAGCGCTGCCGCCCCAGGGGTGTCTTTGCCGTAGGGCCTTTCAGTTCCGCTCGTAATCGCAGGGAGTTAAATGATGGCAGAAGCGATCAGAAAAAGAACTGATTGCAGTAAATCGTAAAGGCTGGTTTAAGCACTTCTTAATAAATTATTTATCACATCTGATTAAGAAAAAAAACAGACTTTAATTATGAGAAGCTGTCCAAACTGCTGTTGATTTGACAAATAACTATCTAATTGTTATCTAGATTTCTAATTTGGAAATTGAGACCAGCTACCAGTATGGATGATTGGCCTTGCAATCTCTGCTTGAAAGAATTTGACAAAATCCAGTGTGAGATGTTACAGAAAGTGATGCTTAAAAACTTTTCAGTCCCACAGATTCATTTCCTCATACATTGTACTTACACCTAGTATTAATGCTTAGAAGCACTAAGGATTGTCCCCCAGGTGGTGTTAACCCTTGTTTAACTCCTTTTGTACATCTGCTTTTCATTCATACCATTTTCTGTTACAAATCTCTACGTTAGCAAAGATGCATCTGTATAGAGGTCAGTGCAGAGCCCAGGCCCCCTGTACGAGCCCAATAAATCAGTCTGATCAGCATTGCTTTGCTTTGAGATAAGCCGCTTAGATTCAGGTATGTACTGCAAAACGAAGTCTTGTTGGGAGCACTGCTGTCACACGCCAGCAACGTGAAAATACAGAAAATTGCGTTTTAAACAAGTTTTCTATAATGGCATTAAATACAATATATCTATCATTTTGTCATTTTATCACTATTTGTCAATTAACTCTTCACTGATTTGTTTAGCTTGTCAGCTGTATTTTTTTAATCAGAAAATGACAYGGCTTGAGAATATTTTCCTTAAACGCCCAAGCTAGCATGAATTGACTTCTGCCGATCTTAATGCACGGAGCGCCTTGCAGGAGTGCGGAAGCCGGACTGGGGGCAGCTCTGTAACGCGCTGGCAGCGCCGGAGACGCACGGACCTTGCAGAGGGGCTGAAAGGCCAAAGGCAGCGGCGGACGGGGCCGCTCCGGGGCCGCATGCCCGGGCTGCGCTGCGGCCGGGACCGGGATCCCGCCGCCCGGCCCTGCGCAGGCGCAGTCGCCAATCTGCCCCCCTCTCGCCCTGTGGTCCGGCCCTGCGCAGGCGCAGTGACCAATCTGCCCCCTCTCGCCCTGTGGTCCGGCCCTGCGCAGGCGCAGTGGCCGCACGCCGCGTTGCTAGGCGTCAGAGAGGGGGAGAGGGCGACCCGGAAGCTTTGCCATCTCCGCGCGCTTCCGGCGCCGCGCCAGGCCTGCTCTGTGTCGGCCGCCGGGGGCCGCCATCTTCGCGCGGGGCCACGGGGCTGGGCCGGGGCTGACGGGCGCGCGCGGCCTCCGCCTGAGGCGCGGGGAGCGGAGCAGGCGGCGTCGTGGCCGCCGCTGCCGCCGCCGCCCCAGCGGGGAGGATGTTCTCCTTCTCCACCGTGCAGCCGCAGGTGAGGCGCCGCGCGCGGCGGGAGCCGCGGCTTGATTTGGGGCGAGGGGGAGGGCAGCGAGTGGAGATGGCCCCGGGGAGCGGCGTCCCGGGAACGGCCCCGGCGCTTCGGGCTCCCCCCCCCGGGGGGGGGGGGCACTAGTAACGGGGGAGAGGCGGTACAGGAGAAGCCTGTACAATCAGAAAGGAAGGAGTAGCCGAAAGTCTTTTAATCCCCCCCTCTTTTTTTTTTTTTGTTTTCTTTGTTTTCTTTTTTTCTCTAGCAAAAATATGTGTGTTTGCTTCCTTCTTCCCCCCTTCGCTGCAGGTAAAAGGTTATGCAACTGTCAGGCGTTGTTGGAAAGGTCAGAAGTGACTGTAAAATCAGGCAAATTAGTGGTGGAAAAGTTATCTGGTAGTTTGCTAAGCACAGCGGTCTGGATGTGATCTGGAAGGCGTCTTTGTCCAGTGAATACGCTGGGACTAGCACGTTACACAGGCCTTCGTGCAAACTACGGCTTTTTTTTTGTTTGTTTGTTTGTTTGTTTTTTTGTTAGGAGATTAGTGTGCCCTAATCCTGTTCCACGGTTAGATTTAATTGTTCTTTCCAGATACACGTTTGTTCATTGTTTTTGTTTTGCCAGTGCAGTGCCGCGCTTTCCAGGCAGTGTCATCCCACCTTTTTGTAGCGGGATGTGGAGARGAAAGTTTGCTTAGTGGTTAGGGTGCTCGCTCAAGTTCGTTTCACCACAAACTTCCAGAGTTTAATTATAGCCTTTCCCAATTAACCTTGAGTGAGTTCTCATGTCGCCCAGATTTCTTGCTTTTGATATTCTAACTAGCTAAACCAAGAAGCAGTTTTGTTGTTGTTTTGTTTTGTTTTTAATCATTCATAGCAGAGAATCAGGTTTTCCAAGGAATGCAAATAATTGTTTCTACAATAAGAGGTGCATTCCAGTTCCTTCTTGCTTAGTGACACTSAGGCTTTTTTTTAATATGTTGAAATTATTTGTGCCATGTCTCGCAATAAGCCTTGTCATGTGCTATAGGAAGGGCCCTGACATGTTCACTTGGATTTATACTGATGCATGAGCAGGAACTTACTGAAATAAATGACTGAGTGCTGTTGAACCGCAGAATTAGCTGTAGGATGTGTRTGTACTTCTTACTGTTCTTGGTATGTAGGTATGTTGCTAAAGTAGGATCCCAAGGAAGGAAACACAAAGGAAACTTCTAAGGAAGCCTATATGATACAGGAAATACTTACTATTTCAAGTTATGTAAGTATTAGTTTGTAGGAAATGCTTGGAAAATATTTAGTGTTTGAGTTAGTAGTGCTTAGTAAGGCTTTGATAAAACTTTGTGGATCCCTGCTGTTCAAAAGCAGCCACTGATCTTGTTAGAGAGAAACTTCATGCTCCCTGCTTGATCTGCTCTTATTAACTGCCTGTGGATAATCTGGAGTTGACCATGTAACGATATTTCAGATAAAYGTCTGAAGTTGAGACCTACCTCTGAGTTAGATGATACACCTCGTTTATCATTCGTGGCAWTTTTTTTTTCTTCCTCTGCATATCTTGCCTGGAGAGCGTTACTGCTTCTCCTTTGGAGCTCTGTTATGAAGTGTATTAGAAGGGTAATCTTTCAAGTTTTTTTTTGGCAAACAGCAAGACAGGCTCAAGATTATTGTGAACAAACATCTTTTTTTTTCAGTGAACGCTGTCTGAATGACAATAATTATTAAAATCTTCTAAACATTTTTAGAGATGGAGCCAACTTGTAGACTTTTCAGTATAAAAGTAGCTTGCTACTGTTTTTTGTTTTTTTCTTTTTTGTTCTTTTTTGTTTTTTTCCCTTGTATTGAAAGGGGAATTTTGCATTTCCCCTATATTCCCTGTGTTTCATTTTCATGTATATCTTTTATTGCTTCCTTTTCATGTATGTCTTTTATTACTGTGTGGTGAAAAAAAAAGTTTGGATTGGTCTTCTTACTTTTATTAGGGACTGTAAAAGAGAAGCATCTTCAGTTGTGCAATTTTATGTCGTATTTACATCATGAGGTGATTTTGAGTTTGTAATGTGCTAGCAGACTGCAGTAATTCCTGTTGTWTTATCATCTGTAGAAGCACATACCCAACCAATACAGCAAACATTGTGTAAAAAAAAGATAAAATACCCTGAAGGAAGCAATGAGTGCGCTTGTGATGGTTTATTTTGCTCTTCCAGGCAAGACACATCCGTGAGAGGCTCTGCATTAGCTTTTCTGTAACTAAACATTGTCTTCCATGCAAACTAACAGCAGTGTTTGCATTGCCTAAATGCTGATCTGTACATCGCTTGTATAGCTTGTTTATTTTCTTTTCTAAGTTTTCTGACCTTCTGCTTTGTCATGTGTATGTACTCTTTCATTTCTTTGTAAATAGACATATCAACTAGCACTGGGGTGTAGAAGCTGAGTTCATAGGCATTATGAAATCCTGSGTGAAGTGCAGAGTACAAGATATGTAATTATAAATCAAGATTTGGAAAGCTGATATACCTGCATTTTTAATGAAGCTTTTTTTTTCTTCCTTCTCCATCTAGGCTACCGTTCCTCTGAGTCACCTTATCAATGCCTTTCATTCACCCAAAAGCTCCACCACAGCGGCCAGCGCAGCTTCTGTACAGCCTGCCCAGAGGGAYACCACCCCAGAACATGATCCTCAAAGCAGTGAGGTATGAAGAACTTTGGGAAAAGTGTGGCCTTACTTGCACCTGAACGAGATCTACAAGAGTACTGAACTAGATCTAAAAAGAGCTTAAGTGAATTTAATATTGGATAAATAAAATAGGATGTGAGCAGATAAAACAATGTTGACAGATAAAACTTAAGTCAGTTTTTTTTGCAGTAAGAGTTCCACTAAAAGGTAGAATTTCATTAATAAGWAAAAGTATACTGTTTTTCTCTATAGTAATTTACAAAGGAGTGAATGATTATTTTTTTCTTTTCGGAGTAACGTCTGTTACTGTAAAGTAACAAAAGTGGGTTTTCTTTTTGTAAAAGTGATTTTATCTTTTCACCGAGCTTTAGCCCAGAATTAATACTGTGGAAAAATTTGCTTAAAAATATACAGTTGGGTTTTGAATAGATTAAATAGCATATTTGAGTGTTGTGGGTTTTTTTTCGATGAGAAATACTTGTCATAATCAGAAGTTGTTTGTTCTTAATGAAAAATCAAGGTATGGAAGGTTCAGAATAAATAGGATATCTTGTCATTTACTTTCYCTTTCATTTAGCTTCTTACCACAAATTTCATAACTGACATGTTTGGGAGAAAAAAAAATCAGTCAGCAAGGAGTCTGTCTCTTATCTGCACTTTCCATATCAGCTTGGATGCCATAGATGCATTAATATCTCTGTTTTGTGATTCCATGTAAATACAGAGGTATTTGCTTCTGGCAATAAAACTTTATTTCAGCAGGACACTTGGAATGGTGAATGGAACAAAAAACACGTTTCATGTATTCACATCGGTTTGTTGTTCCACTTGGTGAGATAATCTGTTGTCTTTTAGATTGAGAGATTGTTTTGCTCTTCATCTTTTTCTCTCTCTTCCCTTGTATATCAGTTTGTTTCCTTCTASGATGATAAAATTATAAAAACCTTTAAAAAAGTCTCTCCTAATTAATATAACTATTGTTAATAACTTTAAAGTTATTAACTTTTTTTTAAAGTTAACTAGATTGYTGACTGTTTTAAAAGCAACAAATACTTAAACATTACCTGCAGTTTGGAGTGTTAAAGTTAAGCCAGTGGAATGTTAAAAATGACTTTTTTGAGAACTTGAAGCYGTATACTTTGTTTTTAAATTTTAAATTAAGCTCATTTAATTTTTGAGTATAGTATCCATTTCCCAAGGGGCATGGACAATGTTTCAGAATTTCTTGATTTTTTTTTCATCCTTTGCATGCATTCGGTAATTCTCCAAGTAATTATTGAGCTAAAGCAAGAAGGCTTGATTTGCTCTTCTACGTCATTTATAAAAGTCAAATTATGACTACAGATGTGCTTGATCTTATTTTGTTTAATAACTGGAGCATCAGCAATCTTTCTAGGACTTCACGAAAGAWTATTTTGTATAAATTCATTTTAAAGCACAGTACTGTAGGTATCTATTTCAAGAATTTATACAGTTACSTATTAAATTCGGCTATTCTAGAAATATATGTCTGTCTCTTAAGAGAATAAAGTCTGTCTTACAGTTTTCATTTARAAGTCTGAAATTACTTCAGTCTAGTTTAGTATCTCAAGTGCTTGAGGCTTACTGCAATCTCCTTTTTTTTTTTTTTCTCCTCTTTCCCCTTTCATAGTTACCTTGTTTTTCGTTGTAGGAGATAAGAAGCCTTGCTTCCTTGCACATATTAACCTTTCACATATAAAATCTAGCATTTTATTATGGGCTTGCCTGACTTATGGCTGCCTCTTATTTTAACTCTGGGCTTTTAAAATTTGGTCTTTGTGCTGCTGCTAAATTTGTCTCRAGCTTTTCTACAGAAAGGCTGTCTTGTTCCCCACCTCCCCGTCCCCCTCCCAAAAAATTATTCCACAGGCTGCTCAATTGGATGAAATACAAAATAAAATGAGTAGATAGACATTCCTGTACAACTATGTCCCTCACCCTGTCCTGCAGATTAGGAAGAGCTGGAAAACAGTTTGTATGTTTCTGTGTYTGCTCAGATCAGAGGAGGTGTTAGAAAGAACATCAAAGTACGAGGAAAAATTACTTGCTATAAATTTACTTCAGCATTGAAAGTATGAATGCATGCCTRTGGAAAAGCTCGTCGGTGTTCTTTGTTTAAATGTCATTTTATTTGTTTCTGTTTAAGAACGTRTTTCAGTCTGAACTGTATAATAGAGATGCTGCAAAAAAGTAACTCATTAAGGGTTTTTTTCCCCCTCTAAGATAATCTTAAATATGGTTTGAACTCTTCTGTTACTGTTTTGCAGCCTGTCTTCAATTTAAGAGATCTGGGATTGTCTGATTTTAAACCTAATCAGTTCAAAGAACTAGTGAACAGGCTGCTTCCTGGCTATTGTACCGAGAAGAGAGTCTCCTCCCCGTGGCACACATCCTACATCTCTGCAGAGTCCTTCTTTGAAAATAAGCATGGTATGCAAATAAAAATGGGCAAAGTTATTCTTTTGTTTGAACGTCATATCAGGACATGGAAAGGAATTTGAAGCATTAACAGCCCATGTAAAGTTACTAAAATAAACCAAGGACAGTTGAAGATACTTTGTTGAGGCTAGGCTTGAACATCGTCCCTCCCTGTAAACAGGGAAGCATTAGAAAAGGAGCAGAGAGATGCACAGGAGTGCGGTATGGGAAAGCATACGTATAACTGCCTTTTGAGATGCTACTTACAGCAGTTGGGAGAAAGCAGAGGATTGATGGCCGAGGCCTACTGCTAGAGAAAGGGCGAGATTGCAGGTGGGAAACTCACAGGCCAAGGAAATACTAAAACTTCAAGGATTTACTTTCGGTATAGGTGCCTCTATATTGCCTAATTACATAAAGTGAGGAGAGTATTTRTATTTTTTACTGATGTGTTCATAATTAGCGTGTWTTAGATCCATGTATGCAGCATTGTAGAAGATTCTGCAGTATACGTTAGAATTAGCAACTAATTTTTTTTTCTCCCTCCTTGCCATTTTTCAGTATTTCGGTTGTTAGTTTGTGGACTATTATTGCAATGATGTAACTTTAAAAAATGTATGTAGATAGTCTTCAAGATTCTTTTATTTTTGCTTTCTAGCCATACCTAACTTACGTAGCAACTTTATCAGAATATGTAACTACAAAATAAGAAGCCTTTTTAGTCACTTATCTTCTCAGTTAACATGGACAAGAGTGTATCTGGGCCTCGTYTCCTCCTTCAACTCCCAGTACGAGTCTCAGATGTTTCTTAAGTAATTCATACCTGCTTAATGAGTGATAAAAATGAGTTCCTAGGCAGGGCAGTGCTTTTCGGTCACTAAACTGACTGCAAAGAAGATGATTGTCATTTATAGTATGCTTGAAATGGTGTCTGCTTTTTTAATGCATTGCTTCTCCTTTTTTGTTATTTCTGTTTCACTGGAGCTATACAATAGAACAAATTCAATATAGTCTAAAGATGTTTTTACGTTTTGGACACAGTGCAAAGAAACCCCTAAAATGACCATGACCAGTCCATTCTTTTCAGTGTTTGGAAATGAAGGATTCGTTGAAGGCAGGTGCTGTGGTTTTAGGAATATCTCTGGGCTCATATTCAGCCTGAGTAGTTATAGTCAGATTTGTACAGAAATACAGAGTTCCCTAYGCAAGTAGAGCTTCAAATTCAAGATTCTGCATGTCATGCAGTTAGGGAGTTTTAATTAATAAAAAGGAAATCAAAAGGTACATTGAAAAGCACCGCATATGGCTTAATGCAAGAAGCTGATCAGCCACATACTGGTACTGATTCTTTTTTTTTTTATATTCAATATAATAAAGTAGAAACAACCAGCCTCTGAAGTTATGTTTAGTTGCTATTTAAAATAGGATGTTTATGTTTTGTTTTTATCTTTCTACAGGTTTTGTGGATGTCTTTAGTACCTTACGCTCATCCTTATTATACAGACAGCATCCCAATCCCCTCCAGAATCTGTCTTCAGATTTGCGGTATTGGCCAGGTATGAAACAACAAGCTATATTTTGAAACTGTGTGTGTGTGTATGCACTCTTTGTTTTATAGAACCAGGTGATCTTTTTAAAGTGTTTGACTTGTTCAAACAAGTTCCRTCTGTGTGAAGTTCCATCTGGATCCTGTGTCTGATCTGTGAGTCCCTCAGTTAGGGCAGAGAGACTGGCAAATTGGAGAAAGCCATAAATCAGAGATGGGTCATTAAGAAGGACGAAGGTTTTGGAATATTTAGTGTACAGGGGGAAGCTGGAAAATGGAATTGTTTTATAGTTAGCAGAAGGGATGGCAACAGGTGATCTAATTGCCATTGAAATCATATTCTCATCCTTTTAACTTGCAAGTCCAAATTACCTGCATTGTTCATGATCACCTAACTACATATTTATAATACTGTGGTTCATKTGTTCCCAGTTTATTTCTGTTTTTGCATGCAAGTTGCTGTATGCAGTTCTCTTCATTTTCCCCTACTTTTTCACATGAGTAGAGAAAAACCCTTAGCTCAACTTGCTGGAGGAGGGAAGTTACATTTAATTAAAACACAGTAAAGAGTCTTTTTTGTGTGATAGGTCTAAAATCTTAGTGTTGCTTTTTGTATGTATGAGTATACCCACTAATAGTAATGGTTTTGGTTTTTTTTAAAGTTTACATACAGTCCCGAGGCTTTAAGACTTTGAGGTCCAGAGCAAGACGTCTGCAGTCAACATCTGAGCAGTTCCCAGAAACAAAAAATTCACTTTCATCACTTCTGAAGGTAGTAACGTTATGATTAAAGTAACTTTATGAAGTTAGTCTGAATAAATCCATTCCTTTCTTTCAGTTTAATGTACACAGTTTCTGAAGGGTATTCTGTACTAAGGTGAAAAATTTCTTAAGGCTAAAAGTTGAACTAATGACAATGTTCTGCTTTCCTCATTAATACACAGATTTGATTAGTATGTTATGAATATAAAGAATATTTAAGTTTTATGGTTGTTTTGAAGTATAAATATTCTTTAAAATTAAATTCTTCATACTCTTTAACTTTGTTTAAAATATTAAGATTATTAATATAATAATTATATTTTAATGGAAATACAGCTAGTTTAACGTATTAGAATATACTTATTTTTAGGCATTTCAGTATGTGATCAGTTGCATGAAGAATTGACTGACTTGGGGCTAATGGCTTTTCAAGGTAGAAAATCTGTACTCTCAATATTTCTTGAGTTCAAAAACTCACTTGTAAAACTTTAAAATACTATATAGCTGTCCAGAATGGGAGTAACCGGAGACTAGCCAAGACTTGTTACCCAAATTACGTTTATCTGGCTAGTCTGTTTATTTTCTAATTGTACAAAAGTCAAGTTAATGAAAGCGTGTTGCATTTACATATAAAGGAGCTTAGAATTTCTCCACCTTTCCTTTCTTTAGGCATCTGTGGTCTGTTTCATCTGTGGCCTTACGTATAAGCCTGAGTGCACGCCTGATGCACCAGGATTGCCCCATATAGTGGTGCTTAACTTTGGTAGGGCATRTTAGGTATATATGATTACTGTGCTTGTGAAGACGTATCCTATATGAAAATAATTCGCAGTTCACTTAATGAATCAGAAAGCTTAAGGTAGTAACTCCTGGACTTRTGCTACAAAGCTGTTCGGAGCTGCATTTTCTTTCCATAACTGGGCCACAAAACATGGCCACTCAGCTGGCTGCCTTCAGCATCCAGGAGGACTCCGAACCTGGTCAGCTCAGAGCCGGAGTTAAGAAGCCCCTGCAGGAGCTGTTGTGATTTTGTACTCAAGCTACTGAGTGTTCCTCACTCAGTAATCCTGTAGCACCTTAGCTGTGTGTTGTTTTGTTTTTCCTCCCCTCATCTTGGACTAATGCTGCTTGATTGATGACTTAACTGCATTTCGAAATTCTACTAATCCTGCTTTACAAAATATTTTAGGGTTTCATCCTGAGAAAGCGAAGAATTGATGTAGAAAACTTGGATATGTTAATGAAAACAAAAAACATCCCAGAGGCACATCAGGATGCTTTCAAAACAGGTTTTGCAGAAGGCTTTTTGAAAGCACAGGTATTCCTGCAAAAAACACTTGGTAAGTTGTTTCAGTTTATCATCTTGTCTTTGCGTTCAGAAAATAGCCTATTCAGCCTATTTTAAAACATTTCTTTGTTTTATTTTACAGATTCTCTAAGGAGATCGCGGTTGCTCTCGTTCTTTCTCTTCGTTCTTTGTTTTTATCTTGCCGTGTATTCCTCGTTTTTGCCTGGGAAAGGCTCCTTTTCTGATGCCGGTTAGTTAACTTTTTTACTCTCTTGTTCACATTGTTTCTTCCAGCAAGCTGAGCAGGTATGGACTGTATTGCAGCAGTGTGATTTTGTTTATAGGATTATATTTCAAAGTGCTGATGAAACAGGAGAATTGTTTAGTGCTCTTTGCTACAGCCTAGCAAACAATGGCACTGCAAATATTTATGAAGACAGAATTGTCTGTATATATATATATATTTTTGTGTGTGTGTGTGGAAAATGCAGTTACAGTGGCAAAGGCAGTTACAGAAAAGCAGAGGARCAGAAGTTGGGTCATTCACATGTTAAGTGTTTGTCTTCTAATGTAGATGATGTATTAAGTAGAGCAGCAGTAAGCAAAATGGTTTGATCTTTATAACTATAGCCTAGTGTATAATCACTCAGTACTTGTTTGGCCTAATTGTCAGCATAAGAAATTTGTTGCTAATATCAGATCAATTAAAGGCTTTTCAATATCATTTCAATATCATGCTAAACTAGGGCCTGATCTGATCAAATAAKGAAACATTGAGGGGGAACTTCTGGCTTTCTGTACCCCTAACATTGAGTACTGGACTTTGTGCTACAAATGACTAAAGAATTGCATTATTGTTGGAGTCACTAAAGACTCCAACATTAAAAGATGTTAAAAGATAAATACATAAAATAGATCTTGCTGAACATTTGTAAATGGAAACATTGGTTTTTAAAATGGCAGGTATGAAAATAGTGGTTTAACTGTGCATCCACTGATGTGCAAAATGTTATATTGGAATGAAATGACAATGTGTAAATTTGTTCTTCCTCTTGCTGTTTTCTTGTAGTACGTTTTCGAGCGTCAAGCACTTTTGATGCAGCAGTTGATCCAATTCAGCTGAAAAATGTCACTTTTGAACATGTGAAGGGGGTAAGTTCTGAAGTTGTGAGTTCTTGCTCATGAGCCTCAAGAGTGTCTCATTCTGTTGCATTAAATGTTTCTATCAATTTTTTTCTTTTAAAAACTCTCCTCGTATTTTGATAAGCGTAAGACCTTAAAATTGAAATGAATGTAGAAATGAGCATCAGTAATAACATCTTCCAGTTTTGTGCTGCAGAGAAATAGTGCAGTCTTGATCCCTATGAGCTGATTAATTCTCTTTCCTCCTCCTGCCCTGAAACTTTCTGTTAAGAGTGCTTGACACTAAGGAGAATTGTATACCAGCCTTCCTCCAAGATATGATCTCTAGCTTACCAGAGTACAGAACAAATGTACAGAGTAAGTTAGAGAGAAAAACAGAGTCAGAAATGGTGGTTATATTTTTATTTAGTGATACAGAAGCCAAATACAATACTGATCACTCTGAAAGCTGGAAGGTTTTTAGCGCGCACGCTCTCTCTCTCTCTTTCTCCCCCCCCAAAAAAATTCCCCATTTTTTTCCGTCCTTTTACTATTTACTCTTTTCTATAAACTGTTTTAGAAAATAGACTGCATTAAATTCAGGATGCTACTGTAAAGTTTACCTTCAAAAAAGATGAAAGATTTTACAAAGGCTTAGTCATGTTTTCTGGCTTGTGTTTTAATATTTAGGTTGAAGAAGCTAAACAGGAATTGCAGGAGGTTGTAGAGTTCTTGAAAAACCCCCATAAATTTACTGTGCTGGGAGGCAAACTTCCAAAAGGTAGGAATCATTGCTCAACAGAGGTGAAAAACTGATATATCACATATATGACTACTTTTGTACGATTGTTCTATGTTGGATGACTAATTTACAGTGTGATCTCTGAAAGAAACATTTTCTTTGGTGCTAGGGGATTAAAAAGAAAAGTGGTCCTCTGTAGATAGTAAAATAATGTATGACAGTGATGGTGGATATCCTGTATCTCGAAAGACAGGATGGAATGCATGAGTGTATGTGTGGGTGTGGTAATTATTTCATTGTGGTTTTAGTACTCTTCTTGGAAGACCTTTCTGCCTCCACCACTGTTTTCAGAATCCTTCACACTTGGTAACTGCTTTAGATAGTTCAATACAAGTCTTTTCATTAAAAAAAAAAAAAAAAAAAACCTGCAATTAAGTATCCTAGTAAAAAAGCTAAGTGAATCTGAAATGTGTAGAGCTGGTAAGTCTGCTTGTTGTCAGTTCTCTGCATTTTTTAATGATTTGGAACACTTCAATAAAAAATCCACTCTCAGAAAGGGCTTTACTGTCTATTTTAGAAAAGCTGCACATCTAGAACACTTGTGAGAGTGCATTTTGAAAAAGAAGAAGTTCTTTTCATTTTGAAATATACTTCCTGTTAAGACTTAAGTGAATTATCTGACAAGAAATGTGTTGTTGTTTTTCTTTTAATTTTTGTTATGATAAGAAATACTAGATCAGACTGCAAGCAAGGACTGTCCTCTCTTTGTGGCAGAACACAGCCAGTTTTGTATTTTGGAAGTCTTAACACTRTGGTATGTAGGTAAACATCTGATACGAAGAGAATTCTTGTAGTGTTTCAACTGCTAAACACATCAGTAACTTCATATAATACTTCAGGCTTCTGTGTTTTTGTTTTAAATAACCTTACAAATTTGATTGCTACTGTTTAAAAATGTATTGGAGAACATCTACATCTMCTTTGCAGTGCAAGTAATGAGAGTTATCTGAAATGAAATGGTAGCAGTGTTTTAAAGCCAAATACAAATTCCTTTTTTAATGCGTGGAAGACCCAGAAGACTGTGTGTTTGTAACTGTGCCTATTTTTTTGTTTTCAGGTATTCTGTTAGTTGGACCACCTGGAACTGGTAAAACTCTTCTTGCACGAGCTGTGGCTGGTGAAGCTGATGTGCCCTTCTACTATGCATCCGGGTCAGAGTTTGATGAAATGTTTGTTGGTGTAGGAGCTAGTCGCATCCGAAGCTTATTCAGTAAGTTAAATGTTTGCTTTCTTACAGTCTTTTAATAGGAAAGATGCAGTTTTAGTGAGCTTTTTACAACTAGCAGGAGTATATGCTTTGGTTAGTTGCAGTAATGTCTGAGGCGAATAAATAAAAWCCCCAAGTAATTAGAAGGAAATCAGAATTCCATAAATAGCAGTTAAGTTTATAAATTTGGTTAATGCTCACACTGAAATTGTAGCGAAGTTTATAACAGCGCTCCCAGTGAGAAGTGGTTTATTTAGAAATGTAGTGTCTTACAAATTAGGTGTTTAAAGGTAAAAATAGCATTAATCTTTATCTTCTTAGTTAGTTCCCCTGTATTTTTATGTTGATGCATATTTTTCTGAACTAAAACTTGTTTAGTGCAGGATCAGAGTAGAGCATCTCTGGACACAACTCTGTGTATGGTTGAGGGTGGGCTTTTTTTTCAGTGAGTTTTCATGGCTGAGTCAACTGCTGCTTCTCATGTCATTTATAGATTAGAAAAATTAAGCATATTTTCAATATTGATAACAATAAAGTGTCAAAGCAAGATTGGCCGTGGTATTGGTGTATTGTTGCAATTCGCTTCTTATACTATCAGCTTGACAAACTGTCTATTTTTCCTTTCAAGTTTAAAATTATAACTGGCTGTTTTGTAAATAAAAGTCTCTTCTATAGAGTAGTTCTTTTGGATATTTCAGATATGGAAAATGTGGTAGATTTTTCTACGTCTGTAAGATGAAAAYCTTTGCTTTACTATTTTCTTGAGATAAAATTAAATATTTTTTCCTTTAAAATTAAGGTCTGTTGTGACTAATACGAGGTTTATTTCTTGATTTCATCAATCTCATCAATAGCCACTGAATATGGCCATTTAAAGTGTTAATTGATAGGATCAAAACCTGTTTCGTTTGACAGAAAAGATTTAATACTTTTAGGTATGCARATAGTTAATAAAAGGTGAAAAATCTGAACTTTTGTTAAATGAAAGATTGATAATGTCAAACACCAACAACGTAGAAAGTAGTAGTGTGGCTGGTTTCACATGGAAGGTATGTAAGATGTAGCAGATATTTTGTGCTTTATAAAGACATGTTTCTTCCTGGTGATGGCAGAAAGGAGTTAGATGAGTGACTTAGCAATGTGAGATCTTGGTCATAGTCTGATTTTCTGTTGTTAATACCTGGAAGCTTGAAGGTACTTTACTTTTAAAGAGCTAGCATCTATGAAAGTAAGTTCTTAATTCTAAAATAGTAGTAATTGCAGAAACTATATGGTTTAATTTAGGATTCTGTTACTTCRTGTGGCTGAAATGTCCTTCAGCTGTTTTTCTCTGTCAGGGGAAGCAAAAGCAAATGCACCTTGTGTTATATTTATTGATGAGTTGGACTCTGTTGGTGGGAAGAGAATTGAATCTCCAATGCATCCCTACTCAAGACAGACTATTAATCAACTTCTTGCTGAAATGGATGGGTAAGTATAGAGATTTTGAGGTTATAATGTGCTTGAATGGGTAATATTTGGAACATTGGGTGGGCTGACTCCTCTGACAGCTTTGATTTTTGAAAACCTACAAGAAAATTAAAATATATAAATGTACAGTGCTTCTCAGTCATTTTCCAGTAGYGCATTTAGTGGCATAAATGACCCTGGTCTAAAGAATATAGGAAATTGTAAGTTATAGCAGCAGAGTAGTTGCAATTATTTTGAAGTATTTCCCTTTTTTTAGACCTTCTAAAGAAGTAAGAGGTTGAACTTTGGATGTCAGTTTGCACATTCTTACTGATTTTTGGGTTAAATGTGACTGCTCGTGACTTGAATGTAGTGGTTGACAGGCGCCATTTAATTAATAAATTGTCTTCAGTCTGAATAAGAAATAAAAGGATTGACTTTAAATTTTCTTTAAGGAGAATTTAATTATGTTCTTACTCTTCTTTCTTGCAGCTTTAAACCCAATGAAGGTGTTGTTATTATTGGTGCAACAAACTTCCCTGAAGCACTAGATAAGTGAGTTAAATCTATGAATCAATTCTACAGAGTATGTATTTTGGAAAAAAAAAAAAAAAGAAAAAAGAAAAGGTGGTGGGGTGGATTGGGAGGGACATTGGAGGGATCAGGGACTTTCCTGCTGGTAATTCCTGACATATTAGTGCTGTAGCTGGGGCTCTTTTCCTGGAAAAGGTTCAATTAGCAAGCTGCATTCCTTGTTTGCATTTCAGTAGCGGTTAATAGTAGTAGCTTAGCTTACTTACAAATGCAAAAAYTTTCAAAAGGGGTAATAAATGTCTGTAAAAGCTGTCTTTTAGCATACAGRTATTTGGGGAAAAAATTGTTTGGATTGTGACAGAAGTCTTTAACAAAAATCACTCTAATTATCTATATGTTTGTTAACAGAATTTACAGGAGCATTTTGAAGTTCTTGTATTAAATTGTCTTTTCTCTTAGTGCTCTAATACGTCCCGGTCGCTTTGACATGCAAGTTACTGTTCCAAAGCCAGATGTAAGAGGCCGTACAGAAATTTTGAAGTGGTATCTTAATAAAATAAAGTATGATCCATGTGAGTAGATACTTAACCTCTTCATGTAACAGTTTGTTCACTCGGTCAGCCTGATGGTCTGTCACTCTCTTACTTGGACTGTAGTAGTGGCTGGTATCATGCACTGCAGAAAGAAACACAATAGTCTCCYAGCATTTAGTGCTGGGATAATTCTGTAAAATGACTTTTATCTCTTAGTGTGTTCACTGTCAAACTTCATTACTCCCAAAGGTTAACATTTTTCATTTTTGTCATAGTAAACTGGTTTTAGTAGAACAATAGATTCTGTTCTTCTAAAGATTTCATAGAAGCAGATTCTTCCTTATAACTTGATAATTTCTTGATATTTATTCACGACATCACAAGCGCTTTTTTCTTTTTTTTTTTTTTTGAAGAAATAATGACTCTAATGTCAACCTGGCTTTGTTTTGTTTTCTTTTTCCCCACAGCTGTTGATCCAGAAATAATTGCACGAGGCACAGTAGGATTTTCTGGGGCAGAACTTGAGAATCTTGTGAACCAAGCTGCCTTAAAGGCAGCTGTTGATGGAAAGGATATGGTAACGATGAAAGAACTGGAGTTCTCCAAGGACAAAATTCTGATGGGTAGGATTTATTTTAATGAAAGTCACTGATATATCTTACAGTACAGTATTACTTTGCAAGATTCATACTTTTACAGAATTGAATTAAGTCTTGTTAATTTTGAAGAGAAAATTTTGAGACCACAGAGTTCTGTGTTAAATCTAGTCTAGGAACGTCTAATCTTGGAAAGAAAAGGGGGAAGAATAGATGCCCGGAAATCTGGAACTCCTATTTACCTCGCTTGGCATATATTAAGGCAAAGCCACAACTGAGAGGTGAACACTGAAAGCCCTTCTGGTTCGTTCATCCTTGACAGAGGAAATTGATTACTTTTTTTAAGATATTTAGATTTTCTTTTAATCTATTGATATAGAGGGAACTTGACTGTAGAATTAGGTCCATTCTAAACATTAAAACCCTACTTGTAAATATTTTGCACTTCATGGGTGTTAGCTAATTTTGGTCGCACAATATTCTTCAGCTACCTTATACTCTGCTTGTATGTGTACGATTTGTGCAAAGTGTCCTGACAAATTGTGAAAACAAGTTTATTTCATGCTCTTCCCTTTAAGGTCCAGAACGTAGAAGTGTAGAAATTGATGAAAAGAACAAGACAATCACAGCTTACCACGAGTCGGGACACGCCATCATCGCCTATTACACCAAGGACGCCATGCCCATCAACAAGGCAACCATCATGACCCGRGGAACAACACTTGGACACGTGAGTCATCATGAAAGTTTTCATTGGTTTACTGCTAGGCAATTTTGAGGAAATTGTCAATAGCACTATTTATTGAAATTGATTTTAATGTATATTATATTTTGTTGGAATCAGTTACAAGCAATCTCTCGGAAAACTCCTTGGTCATTTTTATTCTCTGTGCTAGAGAGCTCTCATTCTTATTTGAAGCCTGCTGGTATGAATAATAGATCAAATATGCAAGGAAAGAGTTCTACATTTGTGTATATTCTGTTGCAATTCACAGATCTTCCATGCAAGAAACTTCAAAGAATGTTTAAAGGATTTGAAAGCAGCAGCACTGCTCAAATGTACTTGAACACAGACTTCTTCAAGTAGTTCTCTATCCATTGCAGCTCTTTATGAAAACTAACCTGTTGCTCTGTTCTAACAGATACTTCTGCTTACGTGTTTCTATTCTGTCTTTGACATACTGAGCATTTGGACAGAAAGTTATCTCTATTATACCTATTGCTGTGGAATGTTATCCAAGTTAATATGTTCAAGTAAGGAAAAAGTGGTCTGAATTTTCCAGGCAAGTTGATTTGTGCTCAATTAAATGTGTAGGGAAAGAAGTAGATACAACAGACTTCTGCAGGGCTTGYTTTGTTTTGTTTTCTTTAGATTTTGGGTTTTTTTTACTGGTCCTAAATGTGAGATTCTGATATTAGGTTTAGATTGCTGCTTTTTCTGTTTGCAGCTTATGGCTAAAAGGGAGCTATTTCCTGTGGTAAGCCAAGCAGCTCCCAAGCCAAACTGGTGAGTGTATATATGAGGTGGAAGCCCTGAGTGTTCAAACTGTTGTATAAAAAACTTTATGTTGACTGTAGATGTATTAGAGTATTTTACAAATTACAAGTATTTCTTGTATTTATTGTTACCTGACCACAAGTCTGTATCTTACAGGTATCTTTGCTTCCAGAAAATGACAGATGGAGTGAAACTAGATCCCAGTTGCTTGCACAAATGGATGTCTGCATGGGAGGAAGAGTAGCAGAAGAGCTCATATTTGGAAGTGATCACATCACAACAGGTCAGCTGATCAGTAGCTAAAGAATTCCTGATCAGAGCTTACAGATAGATTTTGTTTAACTTTGGTTTTAGCAATTAATTTTAGCTTATTTAATACCTAGGTGCTTCCAGTGATTTTGACAATGCTACTAGAATTGCGAAGCTGATGGTGACTAGGTTTGGAATGAGTGAAAAGGTAGTACCTTTGTTCTTAAATTCCTAGACAGTATAAGAGGGTTTTTTTTTTCCTCTTCTGCAACTAAATGCCTGTTTGGCTGCCAGTGTTTACAGAGATCAAGTTCTGGGGAAAAGAAATATGGTAAGTCTAATAACTTGGCTATTTTTGGCCCTGCTATACAGAACTCAAAGAGAAAACCTGTGTATTTGGCAGTTAAAAAAATACGGTGAAAATTCTTCACCTCAGAATGACTTTGGAAGTTACTAAGGTCTACAGAAAATCTTCATATTAAAAGTAAATATTTTGGAATTGAGGATGGACTTTTCATGTATGGGGAAGTGGGGAGGAGGATAGAAATGCTAAATTTTGTAGACTTCTRAAGATGAACTATTTTAGTAATCCATTATTGTTAAGTGTTAGGTCTGATGTTTCTGTGTTCGTGTGACGGGTTGCTTGTTTATTTTTGGCGGGGGCAGTGGTGGTGTTGGGCTTGTTTGTGTGGGGCTTTTTTGGTGTGGGGCTTTGTTTTTCTCTTTTGCATAAGGCAACAATCAGAATTGAGGCTCTTCTGTAACTTGARGAAATAGAGCTCTGCAGGGATAGTACAGCTCATGTATAAGCATCTTGTTTTGCTTTTCCCATCGTAAACATCTCAGTAGGCCCTTGATTAATRCTTTTTGTTTGTTACCATTTGTTGAAGCTTCTAATGTTTTGTTGTAACAGTGACTAGGGAAAAATAACCTTTGTTTTTGTTTAGCTTGGTGTTATGACCTATACTGATACGGGGAAGGTTAGCCCTGAAACTCAGTCTGCAATTGAACAGGAAGTGAGAACACTTTTAAGGGTAAGATACCAATCTCAATATAGTGTTTTTCTTCTTTTTGCTTACACATGTGTGTTGAAATGTGTGTTTTGAATATCAGCTTACACATTAGAAAACCAATACTCAAATATACAATATACAATACTCAAATATCCTTCTTTGGAGATCTTTAAAACCCGCTTGGATGCAGCCCTGTGCCACGTGCTCTAGGTGACCCTGCATGAGCAGGGGGGTTGGACTCGATGACCTCTGAGGTCCCTTCCAACCTTCGGCATTCTATGATTCTATGATATACAGTGTTGGATGAAACTTCCCAGATGTTTAAAGTAGCTCTTGAATCTCTGCGTATTGTTATTTTGTTAATAGCTGTGTACAGATAGAGAGAAACAGGTTGTTGATGGTGTTTAAGGCTGATGTTATACACTTACTAACACTTCCTTTTATATTTAGTCAAGATTTGTGTATTGTCTAATTTATTTCTAGGGGGGAAAAAGTATAAACTGCTGTAGAACAGATGCAAATACTTCGTGTTACTTGCACATTTCATAACTTCCAGTTAAATCTTTGAGTATAGAAGCACCAGAGTGGGCATACCAGATAAAAATCAGAGGGTCACTTGGGCRTCCTGTTCCCCATGGATGCTGATCAGTAGCAGGTGCCTAGATAACAACAGAGCTTGCAGATCAAGTTGTCATGTTCTGGGCTAGCTTGGGCAGACTTGCATGTTATCTGGATCCAGTGGCACAGGAACATCAGTGTTTGCTGTGGCTTTCTGAACTGATTATTTAGTTGGCTAAGAACTGTTTGCATGGAGTAAAAACTGAAGTTGAAGCTTACAGTGCTGCCTAGTAGTTGCTCCATGTAACAACACATTAAACTAAGTGAGTAGCTTCCAGTTTTCTAATGGTGCCTAAGCCTTTTGGAGCTCAATACGCTTTTAAAAACCTCACTCTGAGAGGTTTTTTATATTTACAATATATAATCAAATATGTTTGACTGCTAAGCAGCCAAGCAGACACTTTTCAGATCTAATCATTCTTTTCAAGTCTTAAAGAACATGGGGACRAACGTGAATATTTTTTATATTTTCAGTCCTACTTCTGCAAAATGGAAAGATGACATGAAGTTATAAATACTGTAAATGTCTTYGAACTTTTACAACTTTTAGGATTTAGTCTTTCAGATTGGAGCTGTGCTAGCTATGAGGCTTAATGCTGAACTGTAAATGTTTGTGTAGAGCTTTATTTACATAGAGACATTTTTTAAACTGAAACTTTATCATTCTCCCCCCTTCCCTTTTTTTTAATATATATTAGGATTCATATGAGCGTGCAAAGAACATCTTGAAGACTCATGCGAAAGAACACAAGAATTTAGCAGAAGCTTTACTGAAATACGAGACTTTGGATGCCAAAGAAATCCAAATTGTTCTAGAGGGGAAAAAAATAGAAGTAAGATGATAACATCCTTAAAACAGTAGCTGCTAATTGGAAGAATGTACATCTAGCAATGCAGTAGTCTTATGCAGCATAGCTTTTTTCCCCCTACCTGATGCGTGTTTGGCATTAGTGACACTTTAAGATTACTCTGCAGTGTCTTGTCAGCTTCTGTTCTTCATCTACTTCTTGTGTCCCTTCAGACTAAGACACAAAATAAAGCAGCTTCCTCATTCTCCCCCTACTCTTCCCAGAAAAGATTTTTTTTTTTTCAGAAATATAAATCTCAGGGTTGAATTCWGTGTTTGGATCTAGTCAAATGTGCTGAAGTTGAGACGGAAGAAATGTGCAGGGATGCTGGTGTGCTTTGTCACAGCTCCCCGGGTCCCACTGCTGTATGGGCATTTGGAGTGGTGCCCCGGGCTGTCTGCTGCAGAATGTTATGGACAACGACACCGTAAGTGCTCAAGTGTTGACCTGTAAAACTCTCGTGTATAGTCAAGCTAATAGTGTTTGTATGCTGTTTGAAGATAAAAAGATGAGTTTTAAAAGAAGCTCTTATTTAGAAGCATAGCAAAACATCTGTGTGAAGGAAGCAGCTACACAGCGTATCTCAAAGGGAATTGTGAGAACTCCAAGTTTAAAAAAACAAGGGCAAAAATGGAAAGGGGTGGTTGTCCTTTGAGTGCTCTTGGGGTTAACATGCACACACGTATGGCTGGGAGAGATGTAGAGATGCTTGAATGCAAGAGCAACATCACAGTAAAAGTGTCCAGACTCTTTGGGACGTGTTTTGGACACAACCATGCCAGGGGTAGAGAGAATAACSGTGACCTCTGATGTGCTGCTGACAGAATCCTCACAATTTTTATTACTGCAGTAGATGGATGTGGTTTGAAAACAGTGCTTTTATACTGCTGGAGACTCTGCTCAGTTAGTTTTTACTAATAGTTTATATAGAGAGTGTTTGATAACCCAACAGAGGACAATATTGCTCACTGAAGAGTAGTTCAGAAAATGTATGTGCTGTTTCAGGTAACATTCCCATTTCACTTGTTCAGTAAAAGTAGGGAAATAACCTTTTTCTTTCAGCCTTTATAGTCACTTTTTGGAAATTCTGAACTCATAAGAAATGTTTCAAAAGCAAATCTAGTTTCCAATCAGGTGGGAGTGATTGCTATCAATTATATATGCCAGTATTCTTCAGATGTCATGGAACTGTTTTTTTAGGAATAGCATTGACTGATCATCATCTTTCCATGCAATTAATTGATAGGCCCTTGGGGCTATAAACTTCTTTTGCAGAGAGGAGGCCTTTACTCAAAGTTAACATAGATGGAAGTTAAAATAGTTGGGCTGGTGCCAATAAATGTGAATGCATATTGGTAGCTGCACTTAAAACTAGAATTAACATAACTTTTAGAATTTTCTGAGTGTAATATTTGATTATAACCTACTACTTTTTAGTAAGAGCACATGTGTTTTCTTTCAAACCCAGAATTACTTTATGCTTATTTTTCATTGTTGGCTTAGCATAGCGACATCGCATCGCAGTGTGGGAGAAATTCCAAGTGTTATGAAACAGAATTCCAAACCTCTAGGCTGACTAGTTACAGTTGTACATGTATTTTAAAATATGCCAAGAGAAACAGACATATACTGCATATTTGACATCTGTTTTTGAATAATAAAGTTAATTATGCATATTGGCTTTCCTTTTATTCCCTGTTAATTGCTGAAAATGTAATACCAAGTACCCTACTATGTAAATTGAGGTGTATGAAACATTTAAACTTGTAAATAAATTTAAGAATTACAGCAAAATTGCACTTTTTTTCCTAAATGGATTTCTAGGAAACTTTCTTCCTAGAAAATCAGACTTTTATTCCAAATGCTACTTCAGTAATGGGAGTTGGATGGGAATTTTTTTCCCACTTACTGTAATTTTTCTTTAAAAAAAAGGGGATTTAGGTTTTAAAGTCACTAAACTCACTATTGAATAATGTGTTTAGAGGGCAGATCCTTGAAGTCTAATGTGTTTTTCCTCCTTGGAAAGCTTCTTGCTCTCTGCAAAGAGCAGCTCCCTGCAGAGCCTTTCAGAGGAGGATTCTGAGGTGAGCTGCCGCTTGCAGCGGTGCCTCTGCCTGGGTGTGGAACTTGTTCCTTGGTGGCTGCGTGTGGGTGACAGGGAGTTTTGAAGAAAGTCRTTTTGTCCGCTTTGGGCATTGGGTTTGTCTTGGCGAGTTCCCAGGTACAGCTGGGAGTCTAATTTTCTCCTTACCTAATCAGGGAGAGATATGAGTGCCCCTCCACAAGCAAAATTGTGTCATGCCAGGGAATTGCACTTAAGCCATTGCTGATTAAACCGTTGATGACTGATTTAGATATTGAGGGGGAAAAACGGGAGGAACAAATATGCCTGGGGAAACCACCTCTCCTCTGCTTTCAGGCTCACACATCTCCTGTCCCCTCTCTGCTCTCAGGGTCCCTTGGTTTGCCCTGTGTTGCATGAGTCACCTTGTGGAAGGGGTGGGACCCTGAGGGATGAGGGATTCCCATGGAGTGTTTCCTCTCTGCTGGTCACTGCATCTCTGTGCTGTGACCCATCACCGTGCCCAGGGCCTGTAGCCTCTTGGGGCTGTTCCATGTGCCCATGGGCTCCCTGCAGTTACACCTCTTCCCATGAGTGCATCTCCATTCCTAGCAATGTCCTCTTCCACAAGTGTCTGATTCCTGCTTCCCATCTGCCTTTTCACGTTTGCCTTATGTGTGCTTTTGAGTGTCCTCCTGTCTCCTCTCACCCCTCTTCATTTTACATCCTCAGGTTCATCCTCACGTCTCTCCCTGTGTCTCGTGCCCCAGCAGCTGCTGCCCCCTGTCAAACAAGTGAGCAGAGGTGCCCTGTTCCTCGGGCGCTGGGCCAGTGAGGGGCTCTTTCCCCTGGAAGCTGCTGGGAGCAGCACGAGGCCCTCCACAGCCGTTCCCCACACCAGCCGGCCCTGTGGGCCCCGCTCCCTCCCCYGCCGCTCACACCCAGCGCGGAGGCCAGGACGGGCCCCTCGGCGAGAGCCGAGCAGCACAAACGCCCCCCGGCCCTTTTAACGGGGGCCTCTGCGCAGGAGCCAGGGCAGAGCTCGGGGCCTGGCTGCGCTGCTCGCCTTTTCCACCCTGAGCTCCCCACCACCTCTGCAGCACGTACCTACAGTAAGAACTTCAAACCTGGGCTTTTTCTGAGTTCCAGCACTTTCAAACACAATGTACCTTTAATTCTGCCTTCAAGGCAAAACCGCCACCTTCTGCTGAGGCCTGCTGCTTCTGGGGGCTTCTTAGCAACTGTGCTAGGACTTTGCTCGGCYGAAACTTCACTAGTTTTCAAGGCTGAATCCTTTAATGGTAGCCTTAATGCAAGGAATATACACATGCAGGACGGGAGGGTATTTGTGTATTTGCGAGGTGTTTTTGTTTTGGTAGCAGTAGACTAAATAGGCTGTAGAGATAGAGTGGTCACATCTTAGGCAGCCAGTCCTCTTCCTCTGCATGTGCTCAGAGACCTTTTCTGGTACTAGTTGTTTAAAATAACCCTCAAGGAGGTAGAGCTTTGTCATTTATTTAATTGCTCTAAATTGAAAATAATTTTAATGTCTAGAGCCTCATTCATTGCTGAGAGAATTAGTATTTACAACTTGTATTGAAGAGTTACCTTTTTTTAAGCSATTTGATTTCAGGTCCATTTTGCTCATAAATAATAAATTTTGGCCTATCTACAGATTAGGCAGAACTCATGCAACTCTTTTAAAATACAGATGAAAGAATGAAGTCACAGCTGCAAACTGGGCTGAATGGTTCATTATTCGTAGAACCACTTCCCCGCCTTTTCAAACATTATTGCTGCTCATTTGATCTCTAGCAAGTAGCTTGTTAGATTGACAACAAATTCTATGTTGTCTTTAACGTAASGTTCCTACAAGTTTAAAAAACCAAGAAAGCTACTTTGTCATTAACTTGCAAGTCAAAGTGCCCGACTTCCTGCTCTGTGCTGCATGACAGGAACGGGTTGTCACAGAGGGTTACAACTGCATTGGGGGTTTCAAGTTCCTCTTTCCTCCCTGYGGGCTGGAGGTGGCTTCTTTCCGGTGAGTCTCTGCCCTGCCAGGCTCAGCCCTGCGCCCCACGGCTCCCTCAGGAGATCCACGCGAGCTCCACCTCTACTGTTCATCCTTTTGGAAACAGCAGCCAAAAAGAAACTCAACACAAACGTGTTTAAATAACATCTTGTTTAATCTTAACAACAAAAACAGCAAGAAAAGAAGGATTTTAATGCAAAATAAAAGTCTGTGCAGGCTCTGAAGGCAGAGGTACCCTTAGGGAAGGCACAGTCTCCGCAAGGCTTAGGAACACTGCAGCCTCAGGGAGCTGGGACCTTGGGAGCTCGCTCAGCTTTGCACAGAACCCCAMGGCTGGTGCCCCCTGCAGACACTTGGTGTTACAAGCATTGGCATTGGGTTACATCATCAAGATAAACTGCCAGGAGATGCAAGGAGGAGGAGTTGCTCCTCCTTCTTGCATGTGCCTTTCCTGAGAAAAGTGTAACAGTACATAGAGCCGGGACAATATTCACCATTCACATTCATTTTAACTTCATTTCAGTAAACGATTCACAAAACACTTAAAAACATTAAGATTACAGTCAGATGCACAAAATGAGGAAATGACAGAAATAAGGTTTCAAATCCGTCCATCCTGTATGTTTTAATTTAACCTTCTGTTATTTGCTGCATGGCTTTTCTTAGGTCTTTTCTTATTTCTCATGTCTTATATTCTCTTACGGTTATTACATTTTAGTTTAACTATACTAACTTAAATATATACTATTTTACATTTAATTATGGACAGTCTTTATCATCCCCATATCTAGTCTCTGTCTTGAGGCCTTCTTCAGGTACTGGATCGGGGTGTGATCTGCGAAAACTGCCAAAAAAGGTTAAAAATACTGGAATAAAAACAAGACCATGAAGAGCCCCAAACAAAATAACAAGAAACATAATCTTGAAAAATGTTCTGAAGATATATGTTTTTGCTGCAGCCAATACAGCTACTCCTAATATAGTAGAAATGGCACCTTGCAGCACTGGGTAACCCAACATGTGCAGAGCATCTATGGCCCTTTCATTTGCTGATGCCTTTTCACTTGAAACAAAGGCATAGGAAATATGAGCAGAGAAGTCGACTGAAAACCCTATACAGATGACGAGGTTGATCATGGATATGGAATCTAGATTGACAAGCCAGAAGGTCATGAAACCGGCCACGCCGATGATAACGGAAGCTATGGCAAACGTGACCCACAGGCAGCAGAAGGGGTTGGGGATGAGCAGGAGCGAGACGACGAGCATGGCCCCAGCAGCAATGAGCACGTTCTGGATGGTGTTCTGCACTATGACCAGGTACTGATCGTAGTAGATGAACGCGGGGTGGTACAACATTACCGGAAGGCTGCACTGCTCTGCYGTGTCTCTCAATTTGTTTAAAAGATTTTTCTCATCAACAGCTGTGGTGACATTCACAGTTTGAATGAAGAAACGTGAAGCTTTGATTTCATCCTTAGTCTTGTTGATGTCCCACTCAAAATCCGGATAGAATTGGAACAACATAGATAAATTTCTAATGAAATTTTCTTTGTTATTTATATTTATTGAAGCCATTTGAGCAATTTTTGTGTACACTGCCAGCCAGGATTCTGAGAGGTTCTTATCTACATAGGAAATGTCCTCCAGGCTCTGCAGGCAGTTCTGAATGGCCACTCGAACGGACTCATTCCAGTACTCTACACTTCCATTGACAACAACCATGACCCTGGGTCCATATTCTGAGAAGTATTTATCATCATCATTATAGTATGGAACAACGTAAGAGTCATCATTAGCCAGATTACGAAGGTCTATACCTTCCTTGACCTGAGTACATCCATAAACACTGCCACCTACATACACTCCATACAGTAATACCACGAGCAGCTTGACCCATTTATTTGTAATGAAAGGACCATAGTACCTCTCAAAAAAGGTGCTTATAGGATGTTCGGGTTCTGACTCAGRTGACTGACCAGAACAGTTGCCTATACAACATACATTGTACAAACTGGACTTGCTCTTATCTTCATCTGTTTTCACAGGCATGAAAGTTAACCAGTGGCGGTTCTTCTTCTCCCTTTTATGATTAAGTACAAGAACTGCCCCCAGAAAGGTCAGGGTGTATACATAGCAGAAGATAAAAGCAGTGCCCGTGTAAAGGCAAAATGATTTCACAGATGGAAAAGCTGTCCAGGTGCCAATGAAGAAGGCTAGAACATCTGTGAGAGTGGTAATTGTAACAGAAACTGCTGCCTCTGTGTAAGTCTCAGCCATCCGGGCCTTAGTATCTGATTTTTCTGCCTCCTTGACACTTTTCTCCCAGCAAGCGATTATGATGAACATGTCATCAACTCCAACTCCTGCAGGAGCAGAAACAAATAACACAGCATTAGACACCTTGGCTTCCACTAGTTACCAGTTACTAGTTTTTGTTGGTACAAAAGTGCAAAAGCATTTGAGTCAGCCAAGAGCTTTAGGCACTAGCGGGGCTTCAGTGCTGATGGAAGTTGATCAGATACAGGCAAACAGGCTCCTCCTACACAGCTGAGTTCATTCCACTCCAGGAATTCAGAAAAACCCAATGGACACTGAGCACATGCCCAGTCCCTCTGTGACAAGTGTTGGCGTGTGCTGCCCCACAGCCCCATAGAGACACAGAGCAGAAGGCAAGACCCTACTGACGACTGACCGCTCTTGCAGTTAGAAGCATCTCTGACCATCCCTGGCTGCTGCTTCATCACTGCTGCAAATCAGGCAGTAAAATTCTGTTTCTTGCAGACAGCCAAACCAGTTATCCCAGTGTTCCAGATCTTCAGAGCATTTATTCATGATTTCTGCAGCTAGGTTAGATTTTTGTATTTATGCTATTTCTTGACTCCTGTTCTAATCAGGATTCTTATTTTTAAAATTACTTTCCTATATCCATTCACATTTAGATTGATGTATGTTACTCAATGTCCCGGGAAGCCAGGAAGATTCTGGGACCTAGACTAGGAAGCCAGGAAGATTCTGGGACCTAGACTAGAAGTTTTGCTACAAAACAAGAGTAAAAGCATAAATTGGAACTGGAAGACCCAGTTATTTTCTCCCGACTCTTCTAACTCTCAAGATTTTAATCACAAATTTTGCAGTATTTAGCCAAAGTTACTGCATCACAGGTCTTTCATTTGCTGAAAAGTAATCATACAAATAAAAGACACCGATAATACAGCTGAGCATAAAATAATAAATGAAATCAGTACACACTGCATGTACAACCAGTTGCCATCAAGTACCCAAAGACAGGTTATTTGTAAAACCAGGAAGACATCTCAGTCACAGGTTTTCAGGATAGTCACTAGTCGATGCTTTAATCAACAAAACAGAAAATACCCTTCAAATGACAGCTGGGCAAAAACTTGGGAAAAAGAAAACACAAACATAAAAGAGAATAACTGGCTAGTGGCAGTAATAAAGGAAGAGCTATGGCTGAAGCGGGGAAGGAGAGGAAGTGGAGAGCTAAACCACAACCAGGTAGGTGAGCGGTGCCAGATGCACAGGACGCAGCAGCACGAGGGAAGCAGATGGGTGCTGGGCCAGATACAAAAGCCTGGAAATGCTTTTATTTTTGGCTCTCCTCCCTGAGCCTTTCCCAGAAATTGCATTCTGCATAGCATTGAGCTGAGTGTAATAGCTGGTGTATTCCCATAATACAAACTTCAGCTGACCTTAGAAATACAGCAAAACTGGAGCTGCTTTAAGTGCAGTTAAGGCAGGCAGGCAGGCTTAAAGGTAATGCTTCTAATACAAATCTCATCTTAATCCAAGGCAGTTTGGCACTTCATAAATAAAGATCTTAAAAGAATTGATTTAAGCCCTTTCTCAGGTATGTAGAAGGGTCTTYATTATGTTTACAGACTTGGTACCCAGCAAGCAATTCAAAAGCAAATACAAAATGCATTTGACTTGTGCAGGAAGCTGTATGTTCTAAATAATATTTGCATGAGACATCTAATATGAGCTACAGTTTTTAACAGCCTACGAGGTCCATTTGCTTTCCTCAGCAAGAGATTAAGACCAAGAAAACATCATATGAATTTATAGTACAATAGATTAGGTTAAGATTATTAAAAATACTACTAACAACCAAAAAAAAAACCAATCTTTGCAGCAAATTATCTAATGATASTTTGGAAATTCCACCTTGGTTATCAAGCAGTTTGAGCAACTGTGATGCTACAATTTTTAAATAACTACATCAAGTTTTTGGGGAGATCTTATATTAGGAATGATAGAGCATTTCAATTTTGTATCATAACTGGATTTAGTTCATGACCATATTGAATGGGAAATTCTGTATCAGATGATGATAAACTTCCTGTTTGAAATTACAGACAATTCTGCTCATTGCTTAAGCTATACAAGCTAGACCTAACTTTTTCTAACCAGGGACTGCACTCTTAATATATGACACCAGGATTTATAGCAACTCACCTCATAATGCAAGTATTGCATAAAGTCAATGTTAATGTACTATAATTTGGACACTGGATACGTGTTCTGTGCTTTGAAACTAATGAAAAGCTGAGGCAGGGGTTTGGGGAAGATCTCTGAATCCACTTGGGTTGCAGAAAATTGTCCCATAGTAACACTGTTAATGAGTATTTTAGGTAGACCAATTATRCAGAGCTAACTATATATAAATTAATGCTTACGATATGCCTTTAGAAAACATCAAGTGGTAATACAGAGGAAATTGTTTATCAGAGTGACTAAATTAACAGTGACACTAAAACAACGCTGGAAATGCTGACATTATCACCTATCATCTCCACGTTCCGCAACAGCTTTGGGGGACATCATTTCTGGGAAATGCAGCCCTGCCAGCAGGCAGGGCCAGGCAGCTCCTCGGGCATCAGCAGGGCAGCAGACGCCCCAGCTGCTCCTCTCTGCTCCCCGCGTGAGCCTCGTACGATGCCGTACTCTCAGCACGGAGGGGTAACACACTCGTGTTTTCTCCACTTTTTTTCTTCCTACCTGTGTGTGACTCAGGTTTTTTACTTACCTAGGATGAGAAAGGGCGCGTTCGCTACGGTGATGACAAAGGGCACTCCGCAGTAGAGCATCAGCCCGAAGCTGCTCACCACGGCCAAACCAGCCGAGAGCACTCCAAAGCTGGCAAKCCAGATATTATTTCTTATACAGCTCTGTCTGCAAATATTTTAAGAAATACCTTAGTTATACATCAAGCATTTCACTTAACAGTCTGGCATTAGAAGCAAGTGTTCTGTATAGAAGTGGAAGTTGGCCTGGTTCTGAAGAGAACTTAAGTGATACCCAGTATTGCTAATAGAGCACCAAAGCATGAGGGAAAGTGCTCAGGGCAAGTTAATTTAGCAATACTAAATACAAACAGCTGAATAGTGGCAATGTAACAGAGCATGAACATTTATTATCTTTGTCTCAGTAATAAGAAACCCAGTAAAATGAAGGAATACGAGAGACTACAATTTAGRATGATCCAAAAAGAATGATCTGTTTTTGAGAAGTTCTTGTATTCAGAAAACTTTTAACTCTTGTTAAAAAGCACAGCAAAGTTGAGCAAGATCTAGTAAGCAAAGTTTGGACCAACCCCCCAGGAAAGCCATCTCTGGAAAAGGCAATTTCTACTCTAGCGGATAGAAAGTTGCTATTTGTCTCATTAGTAGATTTGTCTCATTAGTAGATTTTTCCAAGTTGTTGGCCATTTCTTAACTTTAAGAGAACGTGTCATTTCCAGGGCAAGATGATAGTCTTATAAGCTTCTACCAATGCTACCAGATCCTCCTCTGGTTGCAGCTTTTGGAGATAAGAGAGATGACTTTCATATACCTAAAAAGCCAGAAAGGCCAGAACTGACAAGGGTTGAAGCCTCCCATCTCCCACAGAGCTCTGCACAGCCCAGCTGCCCAACTCRGGAGAGCTCAAGTAATGCTACAGAGAGAAAGTCCAAGGAGGTGTATGGATGGATGTGTGCTGGTAGAACCAGCCTCGTTCTGTCTGTTTGGAAATGACTGGATGTGAGCTGGCTTGGGATCCAAAAATTATATAGCTCATTAGCAAGATGCTGCATTGAAGTACTACACTAGGTAAGCGCACGCTCTGAGCTGAGCTTAGTTCCTCAAGCACACGGTGTAAACTCTGCMATTCAGTTTCTGAATGTGCAAAGATTCACCTTGCACCAACACAGAGACTGGGCAGAATAAACTTTCTGCAAACAGTGGGTAAAGCTCAGCATCTGTTACGGTAAGCCTAAAGCTGCACTGAAATTCACCGAGTTGGTGTTGATGGACCTAAATCTTAAGTGATTGAGTAGCAGAGAAAAAAAAAGATGCACGCAGAACTTACCATGGTTTATTTCCTGCTGCCTACCCCACTTCCTTTCCCTTTATAATTGATCTTTAAATAGAATTAACATTCACTGGGCATGGTGAGAATAGACACAACAAGCAGAGCAGGGTAACACRTAAAATAACTTTTGGAATAACACCATTTATTCTTCCTGAAAATAAGGGCTTTTCTGATTGACTTTTATACGTATTTTTTGTGAATGYTTCCACCATACAAACCAATTGATCTGTTAAGTTTTTGTTCAGTAAAGYCAGAAAGCTTGCAGAGAATCATATCGCCATACGTGCTGGCTGGACCACAATTTTGGTGACACAGCCCCCTTTCATCCTCTTTGGTGATAGAGCCCCCTTTCCCAGCATCTTTGCTGAGTTGGTTCCCCAAGTAAGATGTTTACTTTTATACAGTATTTTGCAGCGCTGGAACTGCAGCATCTCAGAACTCTTCACAAGGTAAGAGCATAGGTTTCAGCTATTTAAGCAGTTCCGACATATGCAAAACACTATCCTGAACTACAAGAGGTGAAAGCGGAACTCCATGAAGGCCTGGTGGTTTCAGAGAACACACCAATGGACACCCGTGTCCAAGCTGTGCACCCCTGAAGAGCACAGTACACACCAAATATCTTTGATGTGAATCTCAGCTTCAGCTCAAATACGTGTTCGGTTCTTGAACCCAAACACAAACCCCATTAAGCAGACAGGCAGCACAAGCAGAAGGTGAAGAGCAAGCGAAGGGGCTTGTTTCATGCAACCAGGACAGGAAATAAGGTGGTTTTAAGATACGGGAGCTCAGGGGCTGTTACACACAGGCCTGGAGCTGAGAGGATTTTTACCTGAGGCAAGAGACAATCGAAAAGGTTATCGTCAAGAAGTACGTTATGGAAAACAGCGGGATGACCGTCTTTGTGTTTTCCTCAAACTCCTCCTGCCTGGACAGAGAGGTGAAGTATGAAACCTGCCACGAGAATAAATAAATGGAGAGTTAAGCGGGTGGGTTTTTTTCCCCCCACTTCTCTTTTTCTCGTTTCGAGGCTGCACGGCCCCGGAACGGGGCCGCTACCTCGATGGCGCGGAAGTTCTCGGTGCGCAGGAGCTCGGGGATGAGGCGGATGAAGTCCCCGAGCCAGCGCTCGGCCTCGGCGCCCTCCCGCAGGTCGTAGCGCAGCTTGATGGCCCGCGCGCCCAGCAGCCGCTCGCTGCCGTCCGTGCGCACGCCGCCCAGCGTGGCGCCCAGGAAGGTGCCGTTGTGCAGCGGGAAGCCRAGGCCGCCGGCCGGCAGCAGCGCGAGCAGCGGCGCGGGCGACACGCAGGCGCCGCCGCTGCGGGCGCAGAGCCGCTCGTAGGCGCCCAGGGCGCGCACGTCGGCGTCCAGCCGCCGCACCTCGCTCAGCGCCGGCTCCTCCAGCACGGAGGMGCCCTCGGCCGCCACCGCGATGAGGGCGGCGTAGGCGCCCTCCGTGGGCAGCCGCGGCGCCGAGAAGCGCGTCGCGTCGTCGGTGGGGAAGTAGAGCCGCACCACGTCCCGCTCCGCCTTGGCGGGGCCCCGCAGCGGCGTGAACTGCTCCTCGATGTTGTCGGCCTTGAGCTGCTGCAGGCGCTGGAAGCCCGAGCCCAGCCCGGCCGTCAGCAGCAYCGGCGCCAGCAGGAAGGGCCAGGGGTAGGTGGCCACGAGCCGCCCCAGCCCGTGGAATAACCGCGACAGCGGCCGCTCCACGCAGTTCGCGTTGTGCCACGAGCACTTGTCCGTGGGGCGCCGCCGCGGCTCCATGTGCCCRGCGCGGCGCCGCCGCCGCTGCCTCTGCTCACGGTGCGGCCGCGCAACAACCGCTGCTCCCGCGCCCGACCCCGCGCAGCGACTGCGGCTCCGTGCGC